GGGAAAGAGAAATAGAACAGCTCAAAGCTCAGCTGAGACGGATGAGAGAAGATTGGATAGAGGAAGAATGCAATCGCGTAGAGGCAGAGCTGTCCTTAAAGGAAGCGAGAAGCAAAATTAAACAACTCAAGCAGGTTATTGAAACCATGAAAAACAACTTGGCTGAGAAAGATGAAAAAATTAAGAAACACTTCACAGACATAAATATTCAAAACAAGAAACTGGAATCTTTGCTGCAGAGCATGGCTGAGAACTGCTCTGTGAGAGAGGAGCAGTGCCTGGAGTACAGGAGTGATGCAGAGTGGATGCCATGCGCCACGGTGCCAGACAGTCTTCTCACAGAGAACCAAGCTCAGGAGGAGCTGGCAGATAGTGGGCTGCTTCTTATTGAGGATACAGCTAACGGGACTGATCCAGCTGAAGAATGTTTGACCACCACCGCCTCTGAGTTGAGTGATCCTGCTCCCTCCGGTTCTGCTGTGCATGAAGAGGTGCTTGAGAATGTCCTCTATGAAGCACTAACTTCTTTCCAAGACAAGGAGAGAAGCAGGAGCGTGATGGTGGAACAGGCCATCCAGACTGACGTGGTGCCGTATAGCCTAGATGTGAAACAGCTCATTCAAAACATCTTCAAAGCTCAAGATGCCTGTCCTCTAAGCCCACCTTCTTCACTGAAGGAACTGGGTGAATTTTCTCTTGGAAGCTGCAGTGATTCTGGTATCATTGTGGACTTAACTCCAAGTGATCCAAACTCTGCCATCCTTTTGTCTCCTGTGGAGTCTCCATGCAGGAAGGTGGTGCACGGAGTTAATGAAAACCGTTTCATGAAAGAACTTGATTTTATAGAAGCTAATGAGGATGAAGACCTTGGGTCTGTCAGTAATTCCTCTCAGACAGGAACCAAAAGGAGTTACTGGAGCAGCAGCCTCTTCAGAGATGTTCTGGCTGTAGCAGCACCTGTTGTACCAACAATCATGTGGGCTTTCAGTACCCAGAGAGGAGGATCAGACCCCATTTACAATATTGGAGCATTGCTTCGTGGTTGCTGCCTGGTGGCCCTGCACTCCTTACGCCGTACACCCTTCAGTATCAAAACCTAAAGTCCCCTTTGTCCCTGGTCACCACGTGGCTGACAGAGAGAAAGAGGGATGAGACAGATCATAAAAACTTAGTGTATATTCTGGCAGAGTCCATAATTTTGCTTTAGACGATTTGATTTGCACTATAAATAGGTTCAAAAACATGTTCATTGCTTCAAAATGAAAAAGCTGAACCCTGCAGTTCCACAAGATGTTTTAATAGTACTGCTGCCTACAGAAATAGTTCTCCAGCTCCCAGGCACCGTCCCCATCCCCTGTGCTGGTGCCAGGGAAATGAAGGAGAACTTCAGCTTTTCTCTTTCGTATTTGCTGCGTTAGCATTAAGTTCAGTCACTTTCCCTGGCTGCTTCAGTGAGCAATTGGACAAGTGCTTTGCGCCAGCAGCAGGAGATGTGCACAGGAGGAGCAAATGGCCAGAGCAAAGGGGTTATTTCTTTAGGCAGCACTAATCTAACACACTTGTGAAACTACAGTGTTAAGTGACGTGGAGACTTATTCCTACATGTACTCCAGAAAGCATGATAGCACTTTCCATTTGTTGTCCAAAGTATCAATTCAATTGAGAGGTAAAACCCACATTACCCAGGCAGCTTCCAGCACATGATTTGTGCCTGTCTTGTGCAGTGCTCTTCTCAATCATATCATTGCGCAAGCATTTCACCGGTCTCTTGAGTATATGGGGACTGTAACCGAAAGTGTACGTTCTTGGGAGTCTTGAAAAGTGTTGCAATGATAAGTATAGGCGTGGACACACTTTGAACGTCAGTGTTGTTTTAAAGTCTTAATGTATTGGAACCCTTGAAATACTATGTATAAAAGTATTGTGGTTTAACTTATTATTTAATTGCATTGTTGTATAAATTACCTTTATAATTACAAGTTCAGTAAAGCATGTTAGAAAAGTTAAACCTGTGTGCATGTTTTCTGGTAGCAAAGCTATAAAAAATACCCTGTCTCAGCTGAGCTGTCAGGCACAGGCCGAGCAGGAGGAGGCACGTTATCAGGGCAGAAGGAACCGTCAGAAGGACTCAGAGTCAGAAGGACTCAGAGACTCTCCAACACCAGTTACAGCTCCAAGCACTCAGCCAGAGAAAAAGGCTCCCATCAGTCTGCGGACCCACATGCCACCTGCGCTGCAGCGCCCATGTGGCACTGACAGACGCAAGTGACCCAATCTTCAACCCAATGCAATCTCCTAGAAGCTTGTAACTTCTCCTTCCTGCAGTGGCAGGAGAATATCAGGCTTCCTGGTGTTTCACAGAGGTCCAGAAGGCCTTGCTGAATCCAGCCAACAGTTGTGCAGTCTCAGTGTGCACAGTGAGATGCCACTGTGACCGTCGAGCCATGAATTCTCCATCTCCAAAACCCGAGATCTGTGCATAGATCAGAGGAGGGCAACATTACCCTGCAGATGAAACGGTGAGGTTTGTCTGGCTCTGCCCAAGCTTTCAGCAGCACCTCTGGCCATTTCAATCTCACTGGCCTCCAGTTTTCCCCTCCAGCAAAGCAACTGGAATATTTCCCCGTGCAACCCAGAGCAGAAGTGGTCAAGCGACCTCTGCGACTTTTGGGAAGAAAGGAGTTAGTAGTAAGCCACAAGGGAGGAATCACACAGATTCACAGAATGTTAGGAGTTGGAAGGGACCTCAAAAGATCACCCAGTCCAACCCCCCTGCCAGAGCAGGATCACCTAAACTAGGTCACACAGGAACGTGGCCAGGTGGGTATTGAATGTCTCCAGAGAAGGAGACTCCACAACCTCTCTGGGCAGCCTGTTCCAGTGCTCTGTCACCCTCACAGTGAAAAAGTTTTTCCTTATCTTCAGGTTGAACCTCCTATGCTCCAGCTTGCACCCATTGTCCCTTGTCCTGTCATTGGACATCACTGAGAAGAGCCTGGCTCCTTCCTCCTGACACTTGCCCTTTACAAATTTATAAACATGACTGAGGTCACCCCTCAGTCTCCTCTTCTCCAAGCTAAAGAGACCCAGCTCCCTCAGCCGCTCCTCTTAAGGGAGATGCTCCACTCCCTTAATCATCAGGAGGAAAAATCGGCCAGTGTGCAGGGAGCATTTGAAACACGTAAGAGGGTGATGCATACTGATGCTTCCAGAGGTGACTCAGAGACCTTTCCTGTCCCTCTGATGCCTGGGTTCTGAATTACTTGGGTTCACAAGAAAGATTCAAGAGGCTTCATAAAGTATTATGTTAAGGCTGGCTTGCCTTATAACACTACTGCAGTACCTCTGCGCAAAGGTCATGTTCAAAAGCTTTTTAATTGCATGGACACTCAGGGCAAAATTAATTTTTTAGGGGGGAAGTAATGTAAATTTTAAACAACCATGGCATTTCATAATTCCTAAATACCTCCTCATACCTGGAACACATTACAGAAAATGCCTTATTCCTACTTCTGAGTATGTCTGTTCAAGGCCAAGAGTGCAATATTTTATATCCAGTGTTTCCAACTTTACTGGAATTTTGGATTTCTCTTTTACAGCCACTATTATTCAAGTGATCTTCACTTGGAGTGGTGATGAAATGGAGAAGAATTTAGAGGAAAAAGTGATCTTCAGTTCTAGGAGAGACATTCACCTCTGACTACATGGGTTTCTTTTGCAGCAAGAGGCAATAATGCAGCACAAACCTATACTTACATTTAAAATTGAGATAGGCCAAACAAATTTTAATAACAATATTAATATTATATTAATGTTTTATTTTTCCATTCAACAACAGTATTAATAATTTTAAGTAATTTTTAATAACATTTTTTGGGTAGGCTCCATTTAGTAGAGGCGTTTTTAAACATGCTGTTTAAGGCATAAGGCACCAACACCAGAATAATGTCAAAGTTGCTTCCTGCCCTTAAAAATCATTCGGTCTGTTAAACTCTCAGAAAGTACTTAACTATGCTCAGCCAGAGGCGACAGAGTTCCCATCAGATTCCTCATAAAAGTCCTTGCTCTGATCTCTATCCAAAACTCAGCTCACTTCTAAGCCTCCTCCATCCTGCAAGGATGCAGACAGCTCAAGGTGCCCTTTGCAAGAGGCCTGAAGTACCATAACAAATGCTCCAGTCTGACCTTCAGGGACTGGCCTTTGTTCCCCAGTGCACGTAGGATATGCCAGCTATTGCTACAAAGACACCATCCTAATTGTGGTGTTCCATAAAAACTGTCCTTTTTTCCTGAGTTTAGAAAAAGCTCATACCCACACCCTTACAGCACTGGAAAGGCTTGTCTCAGTGCAGGTGTGGAGGACAAGCAGCTCATAGGCTAAGGAGAAATAGCAGATGGCTGCTTGAATTCAGGCTTATAGCATTAGGATCCCAATCAACTCCTTCCTTGCCTGAAGCAATGCCTGTTGATAATCCCATTACATATTCTTCTTTCTAGACCAGGAACAAGGAAGCCTCTCCTTAATATTAGGCTTAAGAGGAACCTGACATGCCCCTAAGCTGCTGAAAATGCTGAGGTACAAGCACTGCCCACCTCCTCAGCACTCACCTGCATCCTGACTTATGTCCACCCCTTTACAAGGCTCTTCTTAACTTCTGCTTACTCGTTTCTCCTTCCTTTCCTCCCAGATCAAATATCTCTCCTAAATCCCAACCCAAATCTCAATTTGCTGTCTTCTCTCACCTGTCACAATATAGGAAATCCACACAGCCCCTGAATCCAGGAAGAACAGGATCCACAAAAGCTCTGAGCAGGACTTAAGAACCACATCGACTCCCCTCCTCCTGTACACCTTTCCTTCCAGCAGACATGCAACTTCTCTTCATTAAAGCACTCTTGCCGTGTACTGCACATTTACCTTGTGTAATTGCTCTGGTAAAGAGTGCAAGGTAAAAAGTGCAGTACAAATGTGTAATTCCAGCAATTCCTTCACCATTTCAGCGAAGCCACTGAGGTGAAGGTCTCCGGAGCGGAGGATCGCGCCGAGGGACGTTTCCTGAAGGGACAAAACTGCGCTTAAATCCGCGAAGGCAAAAGCAAAACCGCCAGTAACAGAGAGTACCCCAGCCGCCCCCTCCTCTCGGAGCAATGCAGAGCTGCAGGCGCACGGCCGCTCTGCGTCAGCGCGGGCGGAGCCAAGGGTGACCCCTCCCTCAGTAAAAGAGCCCCGGGGCGGCAGCGACGCCCCCCAGCGCAGCACAGGCGGGAAAAGCTCAGGCAGGGAAAAAGCTCAACCATGGATATGAGCCACCAGTGTGCATTTGCAGCCCAGAAAGGCCAACCGCATCCTGGGCTGCATCCAAAGAAGTGTGGCCAGCAGATCGAGGGAGGTGGTTCTGCCCCTCTACTCTGCTCTGATGAGACCTCACCTGGAGTACTGCGTCCAGCTTTGGAGTCCCCAACACAAAAAGGACATTGAAGTGCTGGAGAGTGTGCAGAGGAGGGTCACAAAGATGATCAAAAGACTGGAGCACTTCTCCTATGAAGGTAGGCTGAGAGAGTTGGGGTTGTTCAGCCTGGAGAAGAGAAGGTTTGGGGGGGACCATACAGCAACATTTCAGTACCCGAAAGGTACCTATAAGAAAGCTGGGGAAGAGCTGTTCACTAGGGCATGTAGCAATAGGATGAGGGGTAATGGTTTTAAACTAGAAAAGGGTAGATTTAGGCTGGATATTGGGAAAAAGTTCTTCAATATGAGGGTGGCAGACCACTGGAACAGGTTGACCAGAGAGGTGGTGGAGGCCCCATCCCTGGAGATGCCTGGGTCAGGCTTGATGGGGCTCTGAGCAAGCTGATCTAGTAACACTGTCCCAGCTCACTGCAGGGGGGTTGGACCAGATCATCTTTACAGGTCCCTTCCAACCCAATACATTCTATGACTGTTTTCTATTCTATTCTAAATATATACTTCAAGTGTACAAAAGTGGAATTTGAGAAGTGCTATAACTCAACCGAGGATTTTCACACTAGCTTTATTAACAGGAGGACACTTTTTTTTTCCAATTATACTGCCTAAGCAACAAATATAAGATGTGAGGATTTTTTTCCTTAACTGTAGGAAGGAAAATAATTTCTGCTAGAAATTAAAAAAAATACCACTACAAGTAAGTGATTAAATCACCCCCCTACATTCACAACATCGGCCTTCATAAGAAAGGAGCAGCATGCACCACTGTTGTGCGGTGATGCAGAGCTTTAAATGGGCACGGTAGCACAGGAAGGTGCAAGTGGCAAAGTGACATGAAATCTACCCTAGGGTTTAGCTGTAGCTTGTGCTCTACCATAGCATATTCTACCAGAAGTACATTTAGAGTTGGAGGTCATCCGTAGCATTTAAAAATTACTTGCAGACAAAGGCAAAAGCAGACATTGCTTATCAGGCAGGAAACAAAGGTTTCTTTAAAACTGTTTAATTACATGTTTCAGGTAAGCACAGACAATACAGTAGATTTCCCACCACTGAATATTTACATTCTCTTCTGTAGGCTTGAGCTGTTCATTAAGAGTGTCTTTCAATCAACATCCTTGCTTAATCACTGTTGCTGCAAAGAGGGGTGCTGGAACAGAACTATTGCAGGAAACATCATTCCATCAAGGCATGATTTTCTGTGGGGTTTTCTCTCTTTGAAGAACCACCTATCAGTAGGTCAGGATACTTTGTCAGAATCCTGGCTTTCGAGATGACCTGAAGAATGCATTGAAACCAAACAGTGTGTTGAAGTCCTAGAAATACTTGAATCAATACCAATATTTATGTTGTAGAGCTGGAATTCTCTTTTTCACTGGCACTGCCATTGAGGCCTGGTTTCTGTTAGGACAGTTTTACACCAATTTTGTTTTGTTCCTTTTTCATTAGCCTTTGAGCCTCTTTCTCCATTTTCTTGCGTTGTTGTTCTGCTGCTCTTTTTTCCCTTTCTGCTATCTTCTGTTGTCTGTAATGAAAGAAAAGACGAATTGCTAAATATCAGGAATCCAGTTTTCATACCTTAAGTTCCTGTCAATAAATAGATTATTATAACTAATAGAGCTTCAGTCTACTGTAGTTAGTCTCAGAACAGTTACTGTTTTATTGTGCTGGAGTCCTTTTTTCAGCAGTAACATTTGTTCAATTATTTTACAATCTAAAAGCCACAATTCCCAAAGATTCAGAGTGAGTGAATCAGTGTGTGACAGTTACAAGGTCTAGAGCTATTTAGGAAAAAAAAAAAAAGAAGAATCTGTCTAATGCTTTGAATAGCAAGATTACCTATCTTTTCAAATTCAGACCAAAACAGTTCGATTTTTCTAGAACACTGATTTGTGTCTCCTTTCCCTCAGCAGAGGCATCAGTAGTTATCCTCTTTGCAATGCAAGTACTGCAAACATATTCCTCATGATCAGGTGAGATTATAATTTTCAGTACTCCCTTTCACATGCTCAAGATCCATGTTGTACTCTACTCTTCAGTACAAATACAAACAACAGCCCTTCAGGAAACAACCAAAACAAAGGAAGAGTCTTCAGTTGTGTATCCTTTTAGCATTATTTCTTATCACTGCTATGAAACCCCAGACATCACTATCTGCTAGCTCGGAGAATCTGTCTACAGAAATAGGTTTCCAATTTTAACAAATACATAGCTGACTACAGTGAAGAAAAAAAAACCCAAGCCAATTCAAAAATCCACTCATTTTATTCCCCTGCTTCAGCTAGAACACATCACTGAGTGGTGCAGGAGCAACAGCTGGGTGCATACTCCAAGTTGCACACTGCAGCTCTCTCCTGTAGTAATAGAATGGTGTAAGAAGGTCAGTCCTGCTTTGGATTCAGTTAGATTAGATATGAGTATTAGATATTCAGTTTGGATTAGATATGAAAAATTTGCTGAGTTGCTTTCAAGAGGACTTTAAAAATAAAAAGGAAGTTTCATTACCTTCAAAAGGTGAAATTTAACACAAATTCAGTAAGAACAAGGAATTGCTTATTAAAAGAGAATAAAGAATTCTAGTTGACAAGGCAGTAAGGAGTTAACTTTAGCTGCTCTGCTGTTTGTCATGAAAGAATGAAATTAGTAATTTAAATCAGATTCTACCTCCCAAGTTAAGGGAAACCCAAACTTTTTCTTTTGAGATCATGACCCACTCACTATTCCACATTCCAGCAGAAAGCAGGCTAGTTGAGAGTGCTGACACTGCAGCATATGCAGAGTGATAATATTTGCCACTTTGCAGCAGCAATTTTCTTCAGTTCCCCACACCTCTGAACGGATGCAGAAGGGAAGAAGCTATAGATACACCAGCCAGCACATAGAGACAGCAGAGTTCCACAAAGCTACCTGAGGTGTTAAGCAGTGCTGCTGTGCATTTGCCATTCTGAAGTGAGGAAAGTCATAGCAGGTCATGTTTCTTTTGCCCCCATCAATGGCTCGACACCGAACGCCTCTGTACAGAGGAGTGGTTTCCACGCCCTCTACTGGCTGAGTCATTTTACTGGACTTCAGTAGACTGCACTTTAGAGAGTAAAGATTTTACTAAGCCTATCGATATTCTTTACGGGAAAAGGTACTCTCCTTGGAACAATAACAGCCCAAGGGCACAGCATTCATATCACAAAGCTGTGATACATTAGAGACAAGACCTGAAACAGTTCCAGTACTGAAGTAAAAAAACCCACCAAGATACTGACCAGAATGCACACACTGATTAATTTTACAAAGATACTTGCATTACAACCCTGTTCTCACACTGCAGAGAATGACTGACACTGAGAATTGGTTAAATTTGTTATCTTTTATGAATGCATCCAAACTGTGCTCATGACTTCTCTCTTGTCTTACTCTACTGGTCAAAAAGAGTAAATTTTCCCAAATAATATAGTAAATATTCAACCAGAATATTTTTCCTTTCTTGTGCAAAAATACCTTTTTCTCTCTTTAAAGATTCACAGTTCGACAAAGAGTTTTGAATATATCATGTCCTTATTTCATATCATGACTGCAGTCCCACTGAAACCATGTGTTTGTGACTTTGTGAGCAGAACGAGAGGACTTTCAGGAGCTGGAGCTATCTGAGGCAAGTTATGATGAAGCAAACACATGATTATGATCCTTTTCATAAAGTCATTTAGTGGTACTTTACTTAATCCAGTTGAAACATGTTATTTGAACATCATAAGTTGTTGGCTTTGGGGGAGCATTGTTGGTTTTTCTGGAGGAGGGTTTATGTGTTGCTCCAATGTTCCAGTGATTCTCAGATTTCCCCCAATATCTCATCTACTAAACTGATTGGATCCAAAATGTCTTCTGCCAAGCACCAGTTATACAGACATCAGATGCACAAAAATAACTTGTCTTAAGAATTGTTTAACGATTCTTAGCTCTTATCAGAAAAGTGTTACAACAAACCAACCTGTACTTGATTCTTTTACATGTAAAAGTTTACACGTATTACATTCTTTTCAGTTACCTAAGAACTTCTTCTGCCTGCCAGGCAGCATCTTCCGCTTCTTCCCAGGCATTAGTATTTTCCTGCCAGGTATCCAAGTCTCCCAGTTCAGGCTGAAACAAAAGAAGAGAAGCTTGAAGCATGGGGAAAAGTTAGATCAAACACCTCTTTTTTAATGTTGATGCTTCAGACTTCCAGAAATATTTGAGATATGCCAGTACTTCTCAGCTTGTTGTCTATGCAGTTTCCCTTACTCTAATACTGACTTTTTCCAGTTAATTGCTGGTGGGTCTTTTGGATTCTATTTGTTGGTAACAAATTAAGAAAGGCAGGAAGGAAGGAAGTATTGGAGTGCATTTTTAGGATAGAATCACAGAATCTCAGGAGTTGGAAG